TGGGTGGGGAGTGCAGAGGTGCATCCCATCAGCTCGGAGGACACCCATGTGTCTCCCTTCCCTCAGCATTACCTGCGAGGCCACCGACGCATCTCTTTGTTTCTCCCTCTGTACCGTCTTTTCCTACCGCGGTGGCTCAGTGTTCGGATTTTTTTTGCCCTTCTTCCCTGTGGAAGGAGAGTGATGCAGAGCAGAGGGGCCTCCTGATGCTAGTGGCTTCCCAAAAGCACCCGGATAACATTCGAGTGGCTCACGCTGCCCTGATACCCAAAGAATTCAGGGTAAGGAATGAACTTTTTCGCTCTTGGAAGGTTGCCAGCCGAGGATTCAGCCCGACTTAACTGAGGAGAGACTGCTGCTCGGAAGAAGTTGCCTCCAATTTGTAGTCTGGGCTCACTTTGTCTGGCAGACACAGCTGTTTTCATCACAACAAGCTCATCTTGCACCCTCCTCCCGTAACGGGACAATGCTGCTCTGTGAAAGGAATCAAATAAAACCTAACCAGAAGAGAGTTCAAATCTTGTTTGAACTTGGAGCTGAGCTTGAAACAGAACCGTGTAACGTTTCCTTTAAGCAAAGCCAGACCAGAACCAAAATATTTCTGATTTCTGGTTCAAAGTAATGGTTTGACAAAGCAGTTGGTGTTTCATGTTGGGCACTGTACTTCCCAGGGAGTCTTTGCACTTGCTCCGCAGACCTTAATCCGTAGAACCGGGTCCTCCTTGTAGGCAGCTTTCCCTGTGCCTCCCTTGCTGCCTCCCTGTGTGCTGTGGGTGCAGTAACTCTTGCTCTGGCACTGCAGTGCTGTGCTGTGCCTCTTTGGGTACCACCAGGACTCAGTTCAGGGTAAGGGCTGTGCAGAGTGAGCTGCAACTCAGCTGCTCCTCAGAGCAAGAGACCGGCCATATCTCACTTGCAGGAGAGATGTGTGTGTCCAGCTCTGGAGTCCTCAGCACAGGAAGGACATGGACCTGCTAGAACGGGTCCAGCAGAGGGCCACGAAGATGATCAGAGGGATGGAGCACCTCTGCTGTGAGGACAGGCTGAGAGAGCTGGGGTTGTTCAGCCTGGAGACGAGAAGGCTCCGGGGAGACCTTGGAGCAGCCTTCCAAGATCTGAAGGGAGCTCCAGGAGAGCTGGGGAGGGACTCTTTGTCAGGGAGTGCAGTGACAGGACAAGGGGAAATGGTTTTAAATTGAAAGAGGGGAGATTTAGATTAGATCTTAGGAAGAAATTCTTTGCTGTGAGGGTGGTGAGACGCTGGAAGAGGTTGCCCAGAGAAGCTGTGGCTGCCCCATCCCTGGAGGGGTTCAAGGCCAGACTGGATGGGGCTTTGAGCAGCCTGGTCTGGTGGGAGGTGTCCCTGCCCAGGGCAGGGGGGCTGGAACTCAATGACCTTTAAGGTCCCTTCCAACTCTAACCATTCTGTGATTCTATGAGTTGGGTCAGTGTAGTGTCAAAGGGTCAGTTATTGAGCCATTATGGCCCAAGTGGGACTTAACCAGCAGAACTTCAGTGAGGTCAGAACAGAGCTGAGCTGAGCAAACACTGGCTTGAGTTTCTGGTCACCTGCTAAAAGCAAGAAAGTGCCTCTGTAAGTGCAGTTTAACAAGCATGAAGCAGAGAAGATGTCTGCTGGAGGAAAGTAAAGGTCTGCGTGGCTGAAAGTTGGGGAGAAGGTGGGAAAAGCAAATTGACACAAGTCCAGACGGCAGTGAAGCTGAGATGTGGAGGGAGAAGTCAGGATGGGTTGGGAAAAGGCCACAGCCTGGGACTTAAGATTTTGGGTATGGCCTGTGTGGTTTGTAGATGAGCAGTTTCCCGGTCTATGGCCGCAGCAGTGATTTTAGTGGTCTACACTATTGCCTTCCCGGGGCCATCACATCCCCTCTGTACTGCGCCCTGCCTTGCTTTTCCCCAGGTGGTTCCCTGCACGAAGAGAAGGAGGCACCTTGCTAAAATTTTCCAGACTTGCTCACTGTGTGCCGTGCAGAGCGCCGCAATCGGAGGCGGCGGCGCGCTGAGATTTCTGTTTGGACCGTGGAAAGTTCTTATTTCTGCTTTTTTTTTTTTTTTTTTTCCTGTCAGCAAACTCCCATAACTCTTTTCCATATATCCCTTGCCCCCTGGTGTGCTGGGAGGTTCTGGTGTCTTTGTGGTACCTCAGAGATGTGAGTGAAAGCGATGCTCGCTTTGCGGGTTCGCTGCAGGAGGGGGGTGAGATGCACCCAATTGCAGGCGCAACAGTGGAAAAACGTGCCCTGTTTCTTCTGTCCAAGAAGATTTCACTGAATTTCACTGAATTTCAGATGCTGACGGTATCCGGCCGCTTGTGAAGCTCGTAGGTAAAAGCTTATGAGTTTGTTCTGCTCTCTTCTTCCTCGCCAGGCGCCGCAGCCTCAGCAGCAGCCGCAGCAGCAGCAGCAACAGCAGCAGCAGCAGCAGCAGCCGACTTCAAATAAGCGACCCAGTAACAGCGCTCCCCCCCCAACCCAGCTGAATAAGATTAAGTACTCAGGGGGACCCCAGATTGTGAAGAAGGAGCGCCGGCACAGCTCTTCTCGCTTCAATCTGAGCAAAAACCGGGAACTGCAAAAGCTCCCAGCCCTTAAAGGTAAAGAACCGTGTGGGGGGGTGTGTGGGGGGAGCTGCATGACAAGCTCACCCCTTCTCCAGGGAGAATGTGGTGGTGTAAGGGCTCTTCCCAAAGTCATCCTGGCGGTGTCCTGCCGGCAGTGCGGCAAGAGTGGTTCTGGGAAAGGTGCTTGGCTTGGCAGGAGGTGAAGAATTGATGGATAGCCTGAAAGAAAAGGAGGATGCTCCATGTGAACTTCAGTATTTACCTTCCCATTTGAACTGATTTAAACCCTTGTGCTTATGCGGACTTGAGGTTGCCTCAGATTCTTCAGCAGGTCATGCAGGAGGGTGCAGAGCCATTGGTGCAGACTGCTCTTGGGTTCCTGCAGCCACCCAGTCGCTGGGAGAGGACCAGGCCTCCTCCTCCTCCTTGTGTTTCCATCGCAGATTACGGTAGCGCTATTGAACCTATCCACATTAGGGCAATTACCCGGCATTAGCAGTTAGCCTACGTAATGGTGCAATTAAACATGACTTAAGTGCAGACAAGGAGAAAGCATTTTCAGCAGTCACTCAGCCAGACCGGTCGCTGACATTACTCACAGAAACAGGCAGTCCTTTTAGGAAGGGCGACTGCCTGGCAGCTCAGCAGCCATTCTGCAGGCCAGAGGTAAGTTTGGCTGATGCCAAAACTAGCACTTAGCAGTGCCAGGAGTTTCCAGTGGCAACGTATCAAGAAGAGAATACTGATAATATCTGGGCTCTGCCACCTTGGCTGCTCTCGGGGAGGAGGGTTAGCTGAGGGTGTGCTCTCTTTGTGGCCGTGGGGTGCAGGGCGTGGGTGTCACTGGTCTGGGGTGGGTTAGTTAAGTGTGTTCCTTTTCCTGTGTACCTTGTACTGGGAAGGGATCATAGAATGGTCAGAGTTGGAAGGGACCTTAAAGATCATGGCATTCCACCCCCCCTGCCCTGGGCAGGGACACCTCCCACCAGACCAGGTTGCTCCAAGCCCCCTCCAGCCTGGCCTTGAACCCCTCCAGGGATGGGGCAGCCACAGCTTCTCTGGGCAACCTGTTCCAGGGTCTCACCACCCTCACAGCAAAGAATTTCTTCCTAAGTTCTAATCTAAATCTCCCCTCTTCCAATTTAAAACCATTCCCCCTTGTCCTGTCCCTGCACTCCCTGACAAAAAGTCCCTCCCCAGCTCTCCTGGAGCTCCCTTCAGATCTTGGAAGGCTGCTCCAAGGTCTCCCTGGAGCCTTCTCTTCTCCAGGCTGAACACCCCCAGCTCTCTCAGCCTGTCTTCACAGCAGAGGTGCTCCATCCCTCTGATCATCTTCGTGGCCCTCCGCTGGACCCATTCCAACAGGTCCACATCCTTTCTATGTTAAGGACTCCAAACCACTGCTGTGTTTGAAATCACCTTACGGGATAGTTGCTCGGGAGCCCTTGCAACCCCTCTGCCTCCACCGTCCCATCTCCTTAGCTGGGATAAAACACTGCCTCTCCCTCTTCCCCCACCAGCTTAAGGGAGACTGTGATGGGGGTGGGATGCAGGGCGGGGAGCAAACCTCACTGGTACCTAGGCAAACGAGGAGGGTGTTCTGTTTGTTTCTAAGGACAGACATCCATGCTTTTTTTTTTTTCTGACAGATGCTCCTCCCCACGAACGAGAAGAGCTTTTCATCCAGAAGCTGCGGCAGTGCTGCGTGCTTTTTGACTTCATCTCGGACCCCCTCAGTGACCTGAAGTTCAAGGAGGTGAAACGAGCGGGTCTCAACGAGATGTTGGAATACATCACGCACAACCGTGATGTTGTCACTGAGGCCATCTATCCTGAAGCTGTTATCATGGTAGGGCGTGGGGCCAGTACGTGCTCGTGTGCCAAAGAAATAGGGACTGTTCAGAAGCGTGGTGGGGGACGGAGGGGATAGGGATTTGTCAGAGGAGTGTGATCGTGGTCCTACCCATTCCTTATTATCTGCCCATCCCCGGAAAGAATCATAGAATCATCTGGGTCGGAAGGGACCTTCAAGGTCATCTAGTCCAACCCACCCACAGTCAGCGGGAGACCCCCAACTAGACCAGGTTGCCCAGGGCCTCGTCGAGCCTCACCTTGAATATCTCCAGGGATGGGGCCTCAACCACCTCCCTGGGCAACCTGTTCCAGTGCTCCACCACCCTCATAATAAAGAACTTATTCCTAATGTCTAATCTAAATCTGCTTTTCTCCAGTTTAAAGCCATTACCCCTTGTTCTGTCATTGACAGCCTTTGAAAACAGGCTCTCCCCAGCCTTCTTGTAGGCTCCCTTCAGGTACTGGAAGGAGAAGAAGGGGGTGGGCTGGGAGTAGGGAGAGGTGGAAGCTCTTGCCCCTGGCACAGACTGCACTTGTGGAGATCATACACAGTCTGGAGCCCTGCAGCCTCTAGGGAGGGATCTGTTTGTGGGCTCAGCTGTGGCAAAAAAGGAATTTGCTACAGGGGGGACCATCAGGAGGTGCAGGGATGTCGTTCATAGATGTTTTCACTCACTTCAGTTTTCAGTGAACCTCTTCCGGACGCTCCCACCGTCATCCAATCCCACAGGCGCGGAGTTTGACCCTGAGGAAGATGAGCCTACATTAGAGGCTGCCTGGCCGCACCTTCAGGTGAGGAGGAGGAGGAGGGGAGATATATAGATCTGCTGAATTTATCTCCAGGAGGTCGAGAGAGTCCATGTAGTTCTGAAGCCCACCAGCCCCGCTGCTGGCTGCTTCCCCAGCCCGCCAGGGCTGCTGGTGTGGGGATGGGGAGAGACCAGGTGGGCCACCCATGGGTCAGAGGTGGCTTGTAGGCGATACGGGCAGCAGGGGTGTCCTGGAAACAGGCTGATGGCTGTGTGCACTATTCACCTGCAGATGGCTGTAGTCCCACGTGGCCCTGAGGTAGGCTGGGAGCGAACACTTTACCGGGAGTGAGGGACTTGTGCTGGATTGCCTATGTGAGAAGCAATTCCCAGCAGCGTTAATGTCCCTCCCAAAAGCTCCAAGAGCCCTCATCCTGTGGGCTTCAGCTGTGCTGGAGGCAGCAGCCCTGTCTGCTTCGGTGCTCCTCTCCTGGCCCAGCTCCCTGGGAGGCACATGGAGCAAGAAGACTGCTTGGTGCCAAAGCAAAGCCTGTGTTGGCACCTGGTAACATGTCTTCTGTATGCTGGGTGTAATTCAGCTGTGGTAACTGGGAGGAAAGGTGTGACCAGAAAAGACAGGGAACTGGAGGGGAGGAAGAGGGCAAGGGATCCAAGGATCTTTTCATTAAGGGCTGTGTGTCCTAGGAAATAGCCTTTAAGACAAACTGGGGGGGAGAGGGTTATGAAGGCAACGGTGAGCGCGGTTTAGCAGAGCTCAGCAGTGGAAGTCGGGAGGTGAAGCTCGTGGTGGTCTCCCCGGGTGCTTGCACAAGGACATGTTGTCAAGCAGCTGAAGGCAGAACAAGAGCCAGGCGCTGCAGGATGGAGCAGAGACTAGAGAGAGGAAATCGGGTGCAGTTCTGCAGCGGTGGTTAATCACTTCTCACTGCTGCAGTTGACACAGGGATGGGAGCGTTGATAGAAATGGCGTGTCCTCAGCGCTAGAGTGCTATGAAGGGTAGGAAGCATTTGTTTCTCAGAGTTAAGTCAGCAGCAGACAGCGTGAATCTGTGGCAAGTGCCTGCTGAGTTTTTTGGTCATCACCTTATTATTTTTTTCTATGCTGCTCTCCTTGGCAGCTGAGAGCCCTACCTGTGAATGGGTGGCCCCATAGCTCCTTCAGTTCCAGAGTCAGACCTTTGGGATGCAGCACTAGGCAGGGTCAGCCCCAGAATGGACTTGTCCCTCTAGGAAGACAGCAGGACCACGAGTTGCTCTTTCAGCACAGACAGCCTTCTCAAAGCAAGCTGCTCTTTGTTGTCCAAGTGGGCATGTAGCTTGCATGGCTTAGTGGTTTCCAGCCAGTCTGGAGTCAGTTCCCAAGAGGAAGAGGACACAATGTGTTTTCCTGGGGTCTGTTTCATTTCTCTGCTTTTTTGTTCTTTTTTGGGGTGTGTCAAGGGCTCCCAGTGAAGCCTGAGCCTTTGCCATCTCCTCTGGAGCTTTCTGTTCTTTGTAGAGACATGGGCTGAAGGTGGGAGAAGAGTTTCCCGAGCCTAGTGTCTTCATTTGAGGAGATGGCTGTTGTCTTTGACGAGACCTGAGGTGATGAGATCTTATGCAGAGTTGGGAAGTTGGGTGCCACCAGCCCCCTGCCCATCAGAGCAAGGCCAGCTGAGTTGATCCCACTGGGTGGTGAAATGAGGGTTCCTGTGTTTTCTGTGCTCCCTGCTCAGGCTTCCCAGCCTTTCCCTGAATCCTGAAGGAGAAGGAAAACATTTAAAATATGATGTGAACACTGGTGGGAGGATGCGGGGGGGATTTCTAAGTGATCTCTCCTTCTTCCCCCACAGCTGGTGTATGAGTTCTTCCTCCGGTTCCTGGAATCGCCTGACTTTCAACCAAACGTAGCCAAGAAATACATTGACCAGAAGTTTGTACTATCTGTAAGTGAGCGTTGCCCCTGCCACCACGCACCACCTTTATGAAAGCAGATTTTGGTCAGGGTGTTATGGAAACAGTCCCGTTTTGTCAGCAGGTGCTTGATGATGTGGGTTTTCTTTTTTCCTGTGTCTAGTCTTTGAATGAGCAGCCAGAATTCTCTGGGGAGGGCAAGAGTGTGTGCGAACTGTAGTCCCTGGAACTCATCACTCGTTGTACAGGTGGAGAGGGGCACTGGGGACCTTTTTGGGGGGGGGGGGTGTGGAAATTGGGGACACGCAGCTTTGTAGGGTGTGCTGGCTGTCACTGTGCTTCTGAAGACAAAAGAAGTGCTGATGGTTCCAGCTTGTGACTAGGAGGCTGCATGCTTCAGGGAAGCAACCGCTGTGCTCAGGGTGCTGAAGTCATCACTCAATGGAAAAAAAAAAAAAAAAAAAAGCCACTTTTGCTGGGCAGGAGCAGCGCCCAGTGTTACTGGTAGCTTTGTCCAGGTGGGCAGTAGGCAGACACTGACTGAATTTCTGTCCCTACAGCTGCTGGATCTCTTTGACAGTGAAGACCCCAGAGAACGAGACTTCCTAAAGACTATTCTCCACAGGATCTATGGGAAGTTCCTGGGCCTGCGAGCGTATGTGAGGCGGCAGATCAACAATATATTTTACAGGTGAGATGCTTCTTAGTGCCACTGGCCTAGTGAGTGAGTGGGACAATCCAGTAAGATAAATTTGGGGCACTAGGCTGTGATTCTCTCTGATCCAGACTGTGATTAGCGAAGTGACTCAGTTATGTCACACTGCTTTGGTAGGGTAAGCATTCGCCTGTGCTTAAGAGCAGTGAGGATGTGATACTGCTGTCTTCACAGGCCCCGACATTTGCTGTGTGTGCTGAACTTTAGATGGTCTGGGTCCATGAATTTATTTGCTTCTAGCTCTTACACCTTGCCCTGTCATCTTGGAGTTCTGTTACGTGCTAGAAAACTCCCCATCTCCAGTGTTTTTCCTTCCTTTTGCTTATCAAACAGCATCCAGCGTTTAGCGATGACCTCTCATTCTTCTCTTCTTTTTAGGTTCATCTATGAAACGGAGCACCACAATGGGATTGCAGAGCTGCTGGAGATCCTGGGAAGGTAAGGGCAATTTTGGAAGTCCCAGAGGGCCCATAGTGAGTGAGACCTCCCAGCCCAGTGTGCCGTGTGAGCTGGCAGTGCCTTCCTTCAGCAGTTCTTGCAGGAGCCACCTCTTCCAGAGGATCTCAGTCTGATGAAGCACACAGTGAAAGTACTCCCCAGCCTGCTGATAAATGCAGTGGTAGCCTTCTCCTCCCCACAGAATCACATGGGGTTGGAAGGGACCTCTGGAGATCATCCATTCCAACCCCCTGCCAAAGCAGGGCCACCCAGAGCAGGTTGCACAGGAACGTGTCCAGGTGGGGTTTGAATGTCTCCAGAGAAGGAGACTCCACCACCTCCCTGGGCAGCCTCTGCCAGGGCTCTGGTACCCTCACAGGAAAGAAGTTCCCCCTCATCTTTAGGTGGAACTTCTTCTATTCCAGTTGGTGCCCATTTCCTCTTGTCCTGTCCCTGGGCACCACTGAAAGAAGACTGGCCCCATCCTCCTGACACCCTCCTTTTAAATATTTATAAGCATTGATCAGATCCCCCCTCAGCCTTCTCTTTTCCAGACTAAAAAGACCCAAGTCCCTCAGCCTCTCCTCCTATGGGAGATGCTCCAGGCCCCTCATCATCTTTGTAGCCCTTTGTAGCCCACGTTTGTCTCCTGTTGAGTTTGAGTCAGTCACGCTTGCTGTAAGAGTTTCTCACAGCCTTGGGAAGCCTTAGCAGTGGGCAGCCTTCTCCATGGCTTCAGCTGCCCTTCCATTCGCAGCCCTCTCTTATGCTACCATCCTCCTGTTCCGTAAAGTACAAGCCTTGAGGACCGGGCTGCCTCTGGGCTGCCCTTCCCCAGAGGTTCTGCTTAGGTGTGTGTGTGGGCAGAGCAGAGCCCAGGCCCCATCAGAGGTGTTTCCCTGCCGTGCCTGCTGAGGAAACCACACTTCTTCTGATGGGTGCTTTCTCTGATGAGAGCTCTAGCAAGCCACTGATTGTTCTGAGGTGAGAGACACCGTATTTCTGCTGAGTAAAGATGTTAATGAGACTCTTGTTTCTTCTCAGCATCATCAACGGGTTTGCTTTGCCTCTGAAGGAAGAGCACAAGATGTTCCTCATCAGAGTCTTGTTACCACTGCACAAGGTGAAGTCTCTCAGTGTCTATCACCCACAGGTGAGAAATGCTTCCGAGTTCCCAGGGCAGAATGTGATTCTTGCAAAAGCCATTGTTGGGGCTTGCTTATGGCTATTCACCGGGGCTGCATTCTACAACGTTCTTGAGATGAGATATTTTGGACTCTACACCAGTAATCCCTTACTGCGGTGCTTGGTCCCAGCCTTGCAGTGCCTGAGCCTGTCCGTGTGTGTGCCTTTTGCCACTGGCTGGCAGGAGGGCATCCTGCCATTTCCATCCTGCTGACTTATTGCTGGGGCCTGCTTTGCCTTTCTGTGCTGGCAGTTTGTGAAATGTTGGGACCTTGCTGAAACCAGAGGTAAAATTCCGAGCTGCAGTCATCAGCCTGCGCGTGTGGTGTGTCAGCTGTTAGTCACCGCTTAGATATGCGGAGGAATCAGTGCGCTGGGCTGGTAACAGAGATTAATTTCTTGCCATTTAGAATATGTAATAGAAGAGAAGAAAGAGAAGATCAGAAACTCAGGCTAGGAAGTGAAAAAGTGTGGGCACTGAGCCCACACTATCTGTTCTCCCAGCCTTGTTTTTATGGGGCAGGCTTTGTGATGGTCAAGTTTGTTCCCTCCCATGTGTGCAGCTGTGCTTGCGTTCGAATGTATGAGCTGCAGACTGCTCTAGGTGGCTCAAGTTTTATCCTTTGTGCTGCATGAACCTCCTGAGCTGCCTACTTGGTCTTAGAGCCTTCACGAGCCATCAGAACTTAATTTGGAGCTGCAACTGTCTGCTCGTCACGCGCACCGTGGAGGGCATAACGTGACTTCCAGGCTAGGGTGGTGGCAGCGTTTTAATCTCGGGTGCACTTGAGGAAGCTCTAATCTTGCTGTGTTCTTTTGTTTGTTTGTTTTTTTCCTACAGTTGGCGTACTGTGTTGTACAGTTCTTGGAGAAAGACAGCAGCTTGACAGAGCCAGTGAGTAAATTTGCTTAACCTCTGTGTGTTGCTCGAGTCCTAAAAAGCTTCACGGATTCCTTAGAGTACAGCAAGGGTGAAAAAAAAGGCTGAAGAGACTGGGAGTCAACTGGATTGTCTACTGGGTTTGCCCAGTGACAGAAGGGACCGTGCTGCTCATGTGCAAGCCTTTAGCATTCTCTCCTGAAACCTTCAGGAAGGTGGTTTATAGTCTTCCTATGTGCTTCAGATCCTCATATAGCAGAAGGAATGTTTTACCGAGCTGTCCTTTCCGGGCAGAGCTTCCAGCTGGTGATAGAGGCTGCAGAGACAAAACACATGGCCATCTGATAGCTGATAGAACCAACGTGAGCTCATGAGGGCCCTGAAATAGTGAGAGTTCACTCCAGACTGCCAGAGTTGGCTGAAAAACTGTGGGGATGAGGTTAGGAAGCTGGGACACGAACAAGGGTCTACTTAGACAAGCCATTGTTCCTTGCTGAAAGCATTCTCCATCTTGCTCTAGCATCAGTTTGCCACCTCTATAGCGTCAAGTCACATTGTAGACACATTTGACCTTCAGGATGTAGTGCTGGGAAGCAGCAAGTTCTAAAATGTGTGAGCATTGTAGATGGGGGACCTTCACATATTCGAGTCGCTGGCTGTGCAGACCTGCAGCGCTAACCAGGCTATATTGGCAGAGGGTGCAAGCAGGAGACAAGTGTTTCTCCACCCACTGCAGGCCAGGAAATGTCTTCTACAGAGCTGAGCTTCACAGCCTCAAAACAGCAGATGGCCAAAGAACGTGTGCTTGTGTCACTGTAGCAGGGAGCACCAGAAAGTGTGAGCATTTTAATGAGTAAGGCTTGCTGAGGTCGTTCTGTTCTCTGGCTGAAATGTGTGCGTTCCTGGTGAGCCTGACTGTGCTCGGTGGAAGCTGGTCAGCTGCTGGCAGCTTTCTGGTTCTTCAGTGCTGAAGCAGATCTCCCAGCTTTTCCTTTCAATGTGGGTCCTCCGTTTCCTGTGTTCCCAAAAGCCTGCTCTGAAACGAACTGTGTAGAGTAGCTTCCTGATCATGCTGAATACTTCCTGTGGCTGACATCCAGCCCGACGGCCTCCTGCCAAAGCACTTTCTGTAGGGTGAGGGAGAAGAGAGAACTAGAAATCTGTCAATATTTCCAGGATTCCTTTTGCAGCTGATTCGAATAGGAAAGCTCCGTAGCTCGTCGCCGCTTCCTGCTCTGGTTTGGTGCTTGTGGAAAGCAGTGGGATGACCCTATTTCATTACTTTCAGTGGGTGTCGTGTTGGGTCTCAACCAGCCATACCAAGGCTGTATCACCACAGGTTGTGTCCTGTTGAAGCATCCTGCTTGTGAAGGTTTTGAATAGACTCCTGAGATGACTGGGCCTATTGAAGCCTTGAAAGAATTACGGGGTTTGTGCATCAGCAAGGCTCTGAATGTACTAGGAGATGTTGCCATCAGTGCTGGGAGGAGGCCAGGTTGCTCGCTAGGTCCACGCTCGCTTAGAGTGGGCCTTCCAGAAGCTTGCTCAGCAAGGCTTGACACGGTAGCTCTTACATGAACAGCAGTCTGAGTGACTGCCAGGTGAGCAAGCCTTCAGACGTGCTCAGTAATAGCAAAGACAGACTTGACACACCTCGCACCGCCTTAGCTGTAGGAGAAATTCTGTCTGACTCACCGAAGCTAACTCTTGCCTGAGTGGCAGACCAGCACAATGACAAACACTTGGGGATACCAGATTTGGCTTTCTGGAGCCTTGAGTTGGTGGAAAAAAATAACGCTCAGATGTTTCTAACCTTGCTGCTGTTGCCCTGCCCGCTGCTGTCCCTCTGCTGCTGGGAGCTTCCTCTCGATTGCTGGCTTCAGGCTCAGGTTGCTGAACCACAGAGTTTGAAAGAGCAACTTCTACCACCAGCTGTGTGGGCATCTAGTGTCCACAGGGCTGGCGTGTTGGTAAATACCGTACCGATGGCTCCAACAGACTGAAGGTCTGCAGGATCTTGGATCCTGCCTTTGACCGGCTCTAGAAGCAGATGGGTAGGGAATGAAGCAATATTAAAAATAAATAAATAAAATCAAGTAGGGTATAGCCCTTCCCCTAGTATATTCTGCCAGTATCTTGTAAGCAATAGTTTACTCAGCCAGAAGTTGCATCTGCACTGTCATATTTAATTGTCAGCATTAGGTATAAACTCCATAAACTTGTCTGCTTCTTTCTGGAGTCTTGTTTGGAGTCTCCACAAAGTCTTGCAAGAACAAGATCCATTATCTAGTTACTTTTTTGTGAAATGCCCAGTGGTGCCCAGGGACAGGACAGGAGGAAATGGGCACCAACTGGAATAGAAGTTGTTCCACCTAAAGATGAGGAGGAACTTCTTTCCTTTGAGGGTGGCAGAGCCCTGGCAGAGGCTGCCCAGGGAGGTGGTGGAGTCTCCTTCTCTGGAGACATTCAAACCCCGCCTGGAGATGTTCCTGTGCAACCTGCTCTGGGTGGACCTGCTTTGGTAGAGGGGTTGGACTAGATGATCTCCAGAGGTCCCTTCCAACCCCATGTGATTCTGTGAATCCGTGACATGGTGCTTCCTTTTACTTGTCCCAAACTCATCCATTGCATAATTTATTGGGTGTTTCCCAGTGCTCAAGCCCTGCCGTGTATGGAATAATCATTCCTCGGTGACCTTCTCCATAGCATTTTCAATGTTATTAGTTGATCTTCCATGGTTGCTCTGGACCATCTGCCAGGTGCTGCCCACTCTGGTTTGAGACTTCTGTGTTTAGCTGTGTTTGGGGAGAAAAAAAAGTGGTTCTAAGCTTTGTGCTTGTACGCTAGAGTCATAGCAGCCCGGGCAGCATCGCTGTCTGGCGTGGAACTTGGTAGAGTTTGGACTTTTCTTTCTTCCCTGGTAACCCACCCTGGCTTTTTGAGAGAGTCTCTTCTGTTCCTTCCTCCCCTCTGCTGTTGTGACCAGACCTTAAAGAATTTATTTCGCAGCTGGCGTTAACTTTCAGCCTCTAACACTGTCTCTTTACCCTCCCCACTCAGGTGATTGTAGGCTTGCTGAAGTTCTGGCCGAAAACTCACAGTCCCAAGGAGGTGATGTTTTTAAATGAGCTGGAGGAGATCCTGGACGTGATTGAGCCGTCTGAGTTTGTGAAAGTTATGGAGCCCTTGTTCAGGCAGTTGGCCAAGTGTGTCTCCAGCCCACACTTCCAGGTAGGTTGTAGCTCAAGGAGGGGGATAGAGCACTGGCTTGTAACCCACTTGGCATGTGAAGGTGCCACCACAGCTTTTGGGCTTGTCTTTGTGGATCAGTGGCACGTGGAGGTGTGACCAGGGTGAGTATTGGGGTGACATATGGTGGGAGGCGGTGAGAATCCTCACCACAGCCACAGAGCAAGCTCATCCAAAGAGCAAACAGAGCGGGTCAGTAGAGCCTCTCCTGCTGCATTGTGCTATTCAGCAGCATCTGTTGGAGCTGGAGTAGAGGGGCTCTGCCACCTCCTGTTTTGACTAGCAAATGTAGAGGTGATCCATCCAGTGTCACCTTGTTGCAGTAAAACCAAGCTGAGGGTATTGGAAGGAGGCCAAGCAAAAAGTGCGCGGAGAAGGTACTTTGTGTTATTCTGGGGTAGGTGGTAAAGAGTGAGGTGTACTGAACAAAGTGCTGGAGTCTGCTTCTTGTTCCCACTGAAGGGAAGTTTTGTCCAGTTCTGGGCTCCCCAGATCAAGAAGGACAGGGAACTGCTGGAGAGGGTGCAGCAGAGGGCTACAAAGATGATGAGGGGCCTGGAGCATCTCCCTTACGAGGAGAGGCTGAGGGACTTGGGTCTTTTTAGTCTGGAGAAGAGAAGGCTGAGGGGGGATCTGATCAATGTCTATAAATACTTAAAGGGAGGGTGTCAGGAGGATGGGGCCGGTCTTTTTCCAGTGGTGCCCAGTGACAGGACAAGGGGAAATGGGCACCACCTTGAACATAAGGAGTTCCACCTAAACATGAGGAGGAGCTTCTTCACTTTGAGGGTGGCAGAGCCCTGGCAGAGGCTGCCCAGGGAGGTGGTGGAGTCTCCTTCTCTGGAGACATTCAAACCCCGCCTGGACACGTTCCTGTGCAACCTGCTCTGAGTGGACCTGCTTTGGCAGGGGGTTGGACTAGATGATCTCCAGAGGTCCCTTCCAACCTCGTGTGATTCTGTGAAGCTGGCTGTATTACAAGGCTAAAACCATCTCTGTGGCTGGTAGTTTTAAGGTTTAAAATGTCCAGGGTGGCAGAACCTGCTAGTAGCTCCTAGCAGGTGTTCTTAGCTCACTGGTTTAGGTTGCCATAAAGAGTGCTCAGGAAGAAGACAGCTTGCTGGTGAAACACGTGGCTGAGCCAGGTATAGGTGGGGTGTGAAATAGTGACATAGCCCTCCCCCAGAGTGAGTGTGAGTGCACAGTGGGGCAGACTGGCTTCAGTCTGTCTTCTGGTACAGAGAGGTACAAAGTCATGTGTTTGAAAGGCAAAAAATGAGGACAGTCTAGATCACGCGCATATGTAAAAGTTTACTGTTTCCTGGAAAGGACTGGAGGAGCCTGATGGAAACCAGCTGGACGTGGATTACTGGTGTGGTGATGGGAACCAGAGGACTAACATGATTGTTAGGTGTGGAAGAAGCAACCACAGGGAACTAAGGAGCTTGAATAAAGTAGGGTAAAGGCTGGAGGAGAAGCATCCTGTGCTTGATAGCAGCCCTCATCTGCTGCCAGCTCTTTGAAAAGCAAGACTGAAAAACCTGGAGAGGGTGCAAACGCTTTCCAGCCTAAGAAAATGAACCCCAAAGATGTCCCATGCGGTCAGGCTGAAGAGTCTATGTGTCTGCAGCTTGTATGAGAGCAAAAATAGGAATTGACTTCTTGGTAAGTGGGAACACCTTGGTGGAGGAGAGTTTTGTCTGAGTGGATCGTGTGTTAATCTAGCAGATAAAGGCTTAACAAGATCTAATAGCTGGAAACCAAAGCTAGGTAAGTGAACATGAAGTGAATTTCACTTCATTTACTCATGGGGAACGATACCTTAAGGGAATGTGGTGAGTTCTCCATCATCTGACACACAAAACTGGACGCCTCTCTTCCTAGGTTTTTAAGCCATTCTCAAGCCAGTGCTAACTGCAGAAATCAGCCTGGTGATGGGCATTGCCCGGAATTGTGGTTAAATGTGAAGAATTGTGGTTGAGTCTGGTACTATTGGAAACTTGTAAGGCTTGTTTGTCTTGTTTGGAGCAGGCTGGCTGCCCCAAGATTTTCTGTATTTCTCACCCTTACTAAATCAGGGGGATGAATTGTGGGACTGGTGCTCCAAAGCCCAGGGAGACTGTTTTGGGGAAGGCCAGGGAGGAATGGTGCTTTACAGAGGACAGTCCGAGGAAAAGAAAGAGGTAGTCTGATGGGACCTGGAGTGGATGACATTACTGTCCTCAAGTGTTATGTGAAGGGTGTTGGAGTCATCAGTGTATCGGTGGCAGTGACTTGTCAAGAACGTGAGGTTTTTCCTCAGGAAAGGGAGTAGTGTCTGGCAGAGGTGGGTGGCAGGGACGAATGGCCTGGTAGAAAGAAGTTGGTGATGGTCAGCCCTCCTGCCTGCACTGAGGGGGAAGCGTTTGCTCCTGGGCTGGGTGGTGGCAAGCTCTGGTCTCAGCCCTTCCCAGTTTCCCTGTGCACCACAGGTGTCACTGGAAGGAGCCTCTCCTCCAAGGATGGCTTTCTCTCCCGCTGCAGGTGGCAGAACGAGCGCTGTACTATTGGAACAACGAATATATCATGAGCCTGATCAGCGACAACGCGGCCAAAATTCTCCCGATCATGTTTCCAGCCCTCTACAAGAACTCCAAGAGCCACTGGAACAAGTAGGTCTTTCCGCATGCCCTGGCACTTGCTGTGGGTGCCGGATTGCTTGACCTGCTGGCAAGTCTCGGGCCACGCTGCTGCAGTGTGGTGACACGTGGTGCTCGGTGACACCGGGTGCTGAGCCAGAGGGGTTATTAGTAGCATCAGCATGGAAAAGTGCCACGGTGGACCACAGCGACCTGCTTCTGCAAAGGGTCAGGCGCCTGCCGTGACCCGCCTTGGGGCCATTGAGGTCTACTCAAGAGTTTGATACCTGCGTATCACTGATGCTGGAGGTCTCCTGGAAGCGGGCAGTAGGTTTTCCAGCTTGTGAACTAATGATCACCCCTGTGCTCTTCATGACCTTGGCTGATGCAGCGCCTGACTCCTTGTGGACAGGAAGAACGGAGAAGGCAGAACTAAGGGGGCAGATGTCCTATAGTCAATTGTTGCTTCCTGTGTCTGATTCCTCGATACTAGTCTGGTTTATGGTTCTCCCCTCAGCTTCCTGCTCACCTTTCTTCCAACCGATTCCTTTCCTGCTTAATTCAAGTTGTAAAACTCACTTTCTTTTAACAAATTAGCTAAAAATACTGGGTCCGCGGCCGAGATCCTACGGTCTTCCAGCAAAATGCTCAGTGTGTGTGCAGACACACTCAGTGTTACCGCCCCTCCTCATCAGAGCTCAGAAAAGGACTTTATGCACTTCTGAGGAGAAGGATCTGGGGGTCCTGGTGGAGAGTAAACTCTCCATGAGCCAGCAATGGGCCCTTGTGGCCAAGAGGGCCAATGGGAGCCTGGGCTGCAGAGGGAAGAGTGTGGCCAGGAGGTGGAGGGAGGTCACTCTCCCCCTCTGCTCTGCACTGGGGAGGCCACAACTGGAATCCTGCGTCCAGTTCTGGGCTCCCCAGTTCAAGAGGGACGGGGAACTACTGGAGAGACACCAGCATAGGGCAACAGAGATGCTGGAGGGATTGGAGCATCTCCCTGATGAGGAAAGGCTGAGAGAGCTGGGGCTCTTGAGCCTGGAGAAGAGAAGGCTGAGGGGAGACCTTATTCATGCTTCCAAGTACCTAAAGGGTGGGTTGAGGGAGGATGGAGCTGGACTCTTTTCAGTGGTTCCCAGTGACAGGACGAGGGGCAACGGGCACAAGCTGGACCATGGGAAGTTCCACTCCAATCTGAGGAAGAACTTCTTTGGGGTGAGGGTGGCAGAGCCCTGGCAGAGGCCAGGGAGGGTGTGGAGTCCCCTTCTCTGGAGATCTTCAAGCCCCACCTGGATGCCATCCTGAGTGATGTGCTCTGGGCAACCTTGCTTTGGCAGGGGAGTTGGACTGGATGATCCCTAGAAGGTCCCTTCCAACTCCAACAATTCCGTGATTCTTGTCTGAAACCCTTCACCAGTTCTGTTTCCTTCTTGCACCAGTTAAGATTCATGATTCTGCTGCTTCCATCTCCTTCCCAGCCATGTGACACAAGAATTCCTGAAGGTGTATTCCTCTTATTTTTCCCTGTCTTTGTTTTATCGCTAGCCACATCTTCTCAGGGCCGTTTGGATGCCTCAGATTCTCCTCTTCCTTCCCGTAGCTCATCTGCTCCAACGCTTTATCAGACAACCTGCCTAAGTCCAGCAAGGTTGTAGCTGTCTTCCATGTTCCATCCGTAGACCTGGTGAGGCACAGGGCTCAATCTACTGCGTCTCTCCTCTTTTGCCCCTGGGTCAGATATTTCACAGGCGGCTTCAATACTTGTTTTCATTCCCCAGGAGTCTCCTTGTCCCAGAGAGAGCTCACACACTACGTAGCTGTAGTATTAGGAGTTGCTGCTGCTCTTTTCTGTGCTGCTGGTGCTAACTCAGGGCCGAGATACCACCATGACTTGTTCTCCTCTCCTCATTTCTTTGCAGGACAATCCACGGGCTGATCTACAATGCACTGAAGCTGTTCATGGAGATGAACCAAAAGCTTTTTGATGACTGCACGCAGCAATACAAGGCAGAGAAGCAGAAGTGAGTAAGAGGTTCTTGCCAAGTAACTTGAGCTCATCCTGGAGTCTCCTTGGGGGACAATAACAGAAGGTAGATGCCAACAGGCAGAGGGGAAAAGGAAAAGTGGTGCAAATCATTTTGTCAAAAAGTAGGATGCCTCAGCAATAATTATATCTAGGGATGAGAAGAGGTAAAATGTGTACCCTGATAAAAATCCTTTCAATTGTGCTGAAGCAGGTAGCTTGGGAAAGAGTGACAGAGTCTGCTGGGTCATGAGGAAATAAATCGCAAAGTAGAGGATACTCAGCTTTGCAGAGACACTTGGAAATATTTACCAATCCATATATGTCATAGTGGAATCCTGCTGTTTTACTTCTCGGAAGAGCTTTGCTGCAGTGGGCGTAATGTGTCTGTCGTGCCACAGGGCACTTTGAGTTTTCCAGCCATAAAGATGGAATAACACTGGAATTTCAAAGAGCAAATGGTGGGGATAAAATCTGACCTCAGCAAGTACCTGTGCCGTGATGCTGTAAAGAGGGAAAAAATCCACTTTTTCTGCTTCCTTGTGCTGTTTTTTGGTGCTTGTATGACTACTGGCTTTTATGACTTGTCAGTTCAGTAAGCTAGAAGGAAACTTTTTTTGGTTTTGTTTGTTTGTTTGTTTGTTTGTTTGTTTTTCTCCTGGGTCTGTTTTCTGCTGATTTAGTGGCATAAGACAGTGCTGCTCATTCCTGGATGAGCCAGGGCTGCTACAAATGTGGTGGTGGGGAGAGCAGGGCTAACCCTTGCTGACAGTGGCAAGCTCTGGGATATGTTCCATTGTTTTGTGAAATAGTAATAAATAACAAAGTCGAGATGTGAATCAGAGCTTGGGGCGGGTAACCTGCATATGGAGAATTAAGGGGTTTGTTAACATCTAAATTGGGAGCAAGAGAGATGTTTTTTTTTCCTGTTTTAGGGCATTTGTGAAGCCCACAAATTCCTGCACGTGTATTTTAAGATTCGGTGACTATGAGATAGAATCATTTAGGTTGGAAGGGACCTTCAAGATCATCTAGTCCAACCATCAACCCAACTCTGACAAAAAATCCATCACTAAACCATGTCCCCCAGCACCATGTCAACCCGTCTTTTGAACACCTCCAGGGATGGTGCCTCAACCCCTTCCCTGGGCAGCCCATTCCAATGTTTAATAACCCTTCCCATGTAAAAATTGTTCCTAATCTCCAATCTGAACCTCCCCTGGTGCAACTTGAGGTCATTTCCTCTTGTCCCATCGCCTGAGACTTGGAAGAAGAGACCGACCCCCCCTGGCTACACCCTCCTTTCAGGGAGTTGGAGAGAGCGAGAAGGTCTCCCCTCAGCCTCCTTTTCTCCAGGCTGAACACCCCCAGCTCCCTTAGCTGCTCCTCACAAGACCCCTCACCAGCTCCATTGCCCTTCTCTGGACCTGCTCCAGCCCCTCAATGTCTTTTTTGTGGTGAGGGGCCCAAAACTGGACACAGCACTTGAGGTGGAGCCTCACCAATGCCCAGTACAGGGGGACAGTCACCTTTTGAGTCCTACTCCCCACGCTGTTCCTGACACAGGCCAAGATACTGTTGGCCTTCTTGGCCACCTGGGCACACTGCTGGCTCCTGTTCAGCTGACAGTCGACCAACACCCCCAGGTCTATCTGGTGTTTCCATCAGGAGATTTTTTTTTACTTGTTTAGCTTCTACCCACGCTGACCTGCTGAGAGGGACTGTTCCCAGCATTGGTGAGTGGCTGGTGGAGGATTGTTCTGGAAAAGGTCAACAGAGCAGCTCAGAGCTGTCCAAGAAACGGATGGGTAGAGCTGCACTGTTTTCTGCACATGTTAAGATCTTTTTTTTTTTCCCCTAGTGCCTCTCTGACTAATTATGCTTCAGAAAACCTTGAAATGGGTTTTTATCAAGGATGTAAGGGATATCAAGGATATTTCGCTCTCCTAGATAACCAAATTTGGTAAAATGTCAGTTGAAAGCTCGGTGGGCGGTATGTAAAAATGTCTTTTAGCAGCTGAATGGGAGATGAGTTTACCTACAACGAGCATGATATGATTCCTCAGCTAAGTGGGATTTCCCTGCCACGGGGGCCCAGCTGAGGAGGCCGTTCAGGGTGAAAACAAGAAGGCTCAACTGTGCTGTCACTGGCACAGCATTGGCCAGCTGTTCCTGGCTTGAGAAGCATGAAAAGAGGTCCCTCTGAAGGGATGCTGGAGCTGGGAGAGAAGGTTGTGAAAGGTCTGTAGGGACAGGCTGGGAAAGGACTAATTAGAGATTGGGTAGCAGAAGGGAATGGAGTGGGACAGGAGACTGGGGAGAAGAGCAGCTTCTCTGGGCAAGGAGGGTAGAGACTTTGGGCAGAGGTACAGCGAAGAGCCAGGGTGGTGGTAGTGCTATTCTGAATGTGAGTGGTGAAGGGAAGAAATTAGAGGAGGAGTAAGGAGATCAGGGTTTGTTGGGCAAGGGGCCTGGGACCAGAAAGGACGTAGAACAATGGTGGGGGGAAAGAGCACTTGGGAAGATCACTTAGGGCAACAAAGATGATGGAGGGATTGGAGCATCTCCCTGATAAGGAAAGGCTGAGAGAGCTGGGGCTCTTGAGCCTGGAGAAGAGAAGGCTGAGGGGAGACCTTCTTAATGCTGACAAGTGTCTAAAGGGTGGGTTGAAGGAGGATGGAGCTGGACTCTTTCCAGTGGTTCCCAGTGACAGGACAAGGGGCAACGGGCACAGGCTGGACCATGGGAAGTTCCACTCCAATGTGAGGAAGAACTTGTTTGGGGTGAGGGTGGCAGAGCCCTGGCAGAGGCTGCCCAGGGAGGGTGTGGAGTCCCCTTCTCTGGAGATCTTCAAGCCCCGCCTGGATGGAGTCCGGAGTGATGTGCTCTGGGCAACCCTGCTTTGGCAGAGGAGTTGGGCTGGATGATCTCTAGAAGGTCCCTTCCAACTTCAACAGTTCCGTGATTCTGTGATTCCCTGAAGATGAATTAGAAAGCTAGATTTACTAGAGCAGCATGCCTGAGTTCTTTGCTTAAGTCCATTGGCAAAATGTCAGCTTTTCCCTCCATGTCTTTAAAATATCTGAGAAATATAAGCAAATCCATGTGCACTTAACACTGTAGCTGCGTGTTCTGTATGATAATAGAATAAGTCATTGCTGGAACAAACGGGGTTAGACAAAGTGTGTTTCACAGGCAGGAGAAAGTGTTCTTCAGTGGTGTCTCCCCAGTGCAATGAGACTTGTTTTGTAGCTGAAGAATCTGTCCTACCTGCTCTTCTGTCCCCAGAGTGCTAGTGTTCTGGTGAGCAGCAGGTCCTGTTGCCTCGAGAAGACGTGTTGCATCCACAGCTCCTTTCTGCTGCCTCCCTGGCAGAGCTGGCTGCAGGTCGTGCCTGTTGGTGGCAGTAACGTGGTGTTGGTGTCAATTGCTGTTGTCTTTTCAAACACAGAGACTTAAACCAAATATAGAAATAGTACAGTACAATAGACAGGGTTGTTCAGGCTGGAGAAGAGAAGGCTCCGGGGAGACCTTGGAGCAGCCTTCCAAGATCTGAAGGGAGCTCCAGGAGAGCTGGGGAGGGACTCTTTGTCAGGGAGTGCAGCGACAGGACAAGGGGTAATGGTTTTAAATTGGAAGAGGGGAGATTTAGATGAGATACCAGAAAGAAATTCTTTGCTGTGAGGGTGGTGAGGCACTGGAAGAGGTTGCCCAGAGAAGCTGTGGCTGCCCCATCCCTGGAGGGGTTCAAGGCCAGGCTGGATGGGGCTTGGAGCAACCTGGTCTGGTGGGAGGTGTCCCTGCCCAGGGCAGGGGGGCTGGACCTTGATGATCTTTAAGGTCCCTTCCAACTCTCACCATTCTATGATTCTATGATTTTTTTTATTTTTCCTAATAAAATCCTGTGAGGCTGTGATGTCGAGTGCCTCCAACGTACAGCAGTGTCCCAAAGGCTGGTGGTGGAGGCCATGTTTTTAATTAGTTACTGTGCCTACAAGTGACGTGCCAGCTTAGGCATGTCACCGCTGCAGCCAAGGCTGGCCATGGAGAAACATGTTGGGGAGGCTCTCTACTGTTTGGTGCAGATGGACTGACTGTGTCTTGCTAATCTCCCCAGACATCTTGAAGCTGCTTTAATTATCAGAATCCTTCAGAAAACAGTGGGGAGGTTGGGGCAGAAAGATAGTGTCTTATCCTGAACGTGCCCATCTCTAGAAGTGTGAAGGCCTCAAATACCCTTTTCAAGAAGTGTGGTGTCAACGTGCTCTGGGGCCGCCCAGGCACCCAACATCTCTCTGGTAGCAGCTACCTTGCCTCCTTCTGTGTAGGCCACAGCAGCAGGAAGAAGATATCTCCCACTGTAGCTCTTCTTTTCCAAATGTCCTGCCAGTGGCTTTCTCATGCTCTCATAAAGGGAGCTGATGAGGTGCACATCACCTACAAAGTAGGGCTGAGGGTGCTGCTCCCATAGAATCACATGGGGTTGGAAGGGGACCCCTGGAGATCATCTAGTCCAACCCCCTGCCAGAGCAGGTCCACCCAGAGCAGGTCCCACAGGAATGTCTCCAGACAGGGTTTGAATGTCTCCAGAGAAGGAGACTCCACCACCTCCCTGGGCAGCCTCTGCCAGGGCTCTGCCACCCTCACAGGAAAGAAGTTCCTCCTCATCTTTAGGTGGAACTTCTTATACTCAAGTTTGTGCCCATTTCCTCTTGTCCTGTCCCTGGGCACCACTGAAAAAAGACCAGCCCCATCCTCTTGACACCCTCCCTTTAAGTATTGATAAGCATTGATCAGATCCCCCCTCAGCCTTCTCTTCTCCAGACTAAAAAGCCCCAAGTCCCTCAGCCTCTCCTCCTAAGGGAGACGCTCCAGACCCCTCATCATCTTTGTAGCCCTCTGCTGCACCCTCTCCAGCAGTTCCCTGTCCTTCTGGAACTGGGGAGCCCAGAACTGGTCCCAGTGCTCCAGATGGGACCTCCCCGGGGCAGAGCAGAGGGGCAGGATGACCTCTCTTGACCTGCTGGTCACACTCTTCCTGATGCCCCCCAGGATGCCATTGGCCTTCTTGGCCACAAGGGCCCATTGCTGGCTCATGGTCATCCTGTTGTCCACCAGGACTCCCAGGTCTTTCTCCTCAGAGCTGCTCTCCAGCAGGTCACCCCCAACCTGTCCTGGTGCAGGGGGTTATTTCTCCCCAGGTGCAGCACCCAGCTCTGCAGCACCCAGACTCAGGTCTGCCCTGTGAGGCATTGCTGTTTAGAAAGGTGGGATTCTCCAAAGAGTCACATAGATGAGTGACACTTTCAGATAATGGAAATGTGCTGGTTTAGGAGGTGAAGCCAAGCTGATTGATAAGATTGGGAGGAAGCTTCCCCTATAGGGGTATGTCAGGCAGCTGCAGTACTATGATTAAGTCAATGTGGCATCAAAATAAAGATGAAACTTTCATTCTTTGGAAATATTTGTTTGGCTGAAAAGAGTGATCACAGGTGTAAAAGCTTTCAGATTTTTAGAAGCACTGCTCTTAGTCAGACAGGGTATTTTCTTTGCAAGGTGGTCTTTTGCCATATCAGCTCAGCACATGATGCGTAAACTGGTGGATCTGGAAGTGCCATGGGGAATGGAGGGCTTCCCTGATGCTCTTCAGACTGCCTTGGTGATCTGAAAGGAAAGAACTGGTGCTAGAGATGGATGGAGCTGAATGACTGGATGAGTTCTCTCAGCTCCTTGTGTGCCAGACCAGTAATGTGATGTAGTCTGGCCAAACAAACATGGCATGGTGGTAGACACGATACCAGCAAGGTAGACACTGCTATGGAGGGGCGGTGACCTTCATGATGTGAGGGCCTTTGTGGACCCACATACTGGTCTACATTTCCCACAGCAAGACAGGAATAATACGTATGTTTCTGTTTAGCAGACATTAAAAAGGATTCTGGAGAAATTGGGAATGAGGCAGGAAGGAGCTAGTGTGAAGATCAGTGCTTAACTCCTGGTCACACTCCCCTGCAGAGACCTCCAGAGCTCTGTCAGAAAACGAGGTGTGGGTTATTCATTTGGGGTTTGGTTTGTTGGGTTGGTTTTTTTTGACCCTGTGTTCTCTGATGGAGTAGTCCACTGCTTGAATGCTTGGCAGCTCCATTACCGTTTTTAGCCTCCTTTCTTAAATATATTTCAAGAGTGTGAGGTGATTACAGAGTGTAAGAACTTCCTTGCCATGGATACATAGGGCACTGGAGAGACCAGTAGCTGGGATGAAAGCCAGATAGTCCGTTAAAATCAGAAACAAAGCAGAGATTTTAGTGCAGATGTTTAAAAGGTAGAAAGAGAATAACAAGGAGCGGTGGACGCTCACCTCTGTTTGCAGGGAACCTTCCCTTCCCCAGGAGTTACAGCTGGCCCAGTTGAAGGGTCACTTAAGGTCTGTGCCAAAATTTGTGCCAAGTTCCAGAGCTGTGTCCGGGTTGCTCTGGTCCTCTCCTGCAGCACAAAGCCAAGGGAAAAAAGTACCTGTGCAGCCTGCTGCTGCCACCCTGTGCCACCCTGTGCCACCCCTGTGCTCTGAGGGGAGTGAGGAGTGTGCCTGCCCACCTCCTGCTAGCTGCAGTGTGTCCTCTCTTCTTGCCACGTCTCGCTTGCAGGTAGAATTGGGGGGTCTCTGAAGGACAGAGCAGCTCATCCCCCAGCCTGCACTTTTCTGCTGTCTCTTGATCTGGTTTTCCTGTGAGCAAAAGCTGCGCTTTCCCCAGGAGTTCGCACTTGCTCACTCTCTCTCTCTCTCTCTCTCTGCAGGGGAAGGTTCAGGATGAAGGAACGAGAAGAAATGTGGCAGAAAATAGAGGAGCTGGCCCGGCTGAACCCCCAGGTGGGTAACAGCAGGACGTAGGATGAGAGAGAGAAGAATGTGCTGGGGGTTCTGACCTGCTTCCTCAGCTCGTGAGAGCAGGCTCCAGCACCTGACCTCCGTCCTGTGCACGCAGTTGGAGCGGTGGTCTGTCCCTCCCAAAACCTTGGGGTGCTGGCAACATTTTACCAGCCTGGCCCTCTGTAGCACTGAGCTCTAAGTAATATTTCAGAGAGCACGTACGTGTTTATGGACTCCTCTCTCAGCACACAGGCGGTGTGCTGGGGGCTCGGAGGCCACAGGTAGGAATGGGTGGAAGAAGATGCTCCTTTCCTGTTCATGTACCTACTGCTACCTCTGAGAGGGTGGATGGAAGATGGAAGCATACTGTGCTGTGTTGGGATGCTGGGGGAGAAGGCTGGGTGCTGGGGGACGTGCTGACTCTCCAGCTGTCTGTGTTGTTCTGCAGTACCCCATGTATTACGCACCTTCTTCATTGCCTTCTGTCTGCTGTATGGAAACGGAGACCCCGACCGCGGAGGATATACAGCTACTGAAGAAAACGGTGGAGACAGAGGCTGTGCAGGTGTGTAGGTGTCTAGAGTCATTCCACAATTACTCCCAGACCAGCCAGGACATCAGCATAGTCAGTCCAGTAGCTAGAACTGGCTCTTTCCGAGTGTCATGAGGGTAAATGCCCTTGCTGTCATCCCTGATCATTAGAGACCAACCTGTAGTTTGACGAGTGGAGTTTATCTAACCTTCCCACCCTGGGAAAAGTGCAAGTGGGACTTTTCTGTCTCTCTGTCCTTCTGGTCTGTGTTTGGCTCTCAGCCTGTTCTGCAGCGTGCTGTAGTGTCACCCAGTGTATCCTAGGGCACTTGGAGTTGAGGAACGTGGAGGCTGGAGGGGTGAAGGGGTTTGCTGCTGATCCCTGACTCCTTTGCTTTGTCTGTAGATGCTGAAGGACATTAAGAAGGAGAAAGTTTTGCTGCGCCGGAAATCTGAGCTTCCTCAGGACGTCTACACTATAAAAGCCCTGGAGGCCCACAAGAGAGCAGAAGAGTTTCTCACCTCAAGCCAGGAGGCTCTCTGACGGGCTCAGGAGCTGGCCCGGGAAGCTCTGCCCCATCCCTTTCCCCCAGGGGTCACGGAAATGCACTCGGTTCTCATGTATAAATAAGGAATGAACATGGTGAGCTGTGCCTGTCCTCCACTCCATCCGCATCCCTCCAGGCTAGACCTGGTTTTCCGTTATAACTCCTATCTCACCACTGTCACGTCCCTCCTGCTTTTCCTCCTTCCTCCTGCTTTTCCACCTTCGGGTGTGCGTGGGTGAAGGGAACCTGCCTGACCTGCCATTGTACCAGCCCAGGCAGGAGCCCCTTCATTTCCAGCTCCCACCTGGTTCTGACTCTGCCTGGGGAGCCCAGAGCCTCGCTGCCTTGCAGCACAGGCTCCGTGCTGGCCACAGGCTACCGCGCGAGGCTCGGCACGCTGCTACAAGCCCCAAGTGCCCATCTCCTCCATGCCTGTCCCCCGTGCTGCCAAGCCCCGCGGCGGTCAGAAAAACCAGGCTGAGCTGGGGGCTGGAGCACGCGGCAGAGTTTAGTGGGGGGGCTCTGCTGCCTCTCCACCCAGTCTCGGGGTGCAGCTCCGCAGCCAGAGGCTCTCACGTCCAGCGGAGGAGGTGTTTGCTTCCACCTTTGTTTTGCTTCAAACCTCTCGTTCTGTTCCCCTGTCAAGTGGAGTGGGGGTTCAGTGCTTCGCCACCCCCAGTAAAGCTGGGTGCAAGCACTACATAACTACTGCAGCCCTGCCTTTAGAGCATCCTTAGAAAGCTCTCTTGTGGGAAAGTGAATTCCTTCAGCTGTTTTGTGTTGGTCCGGTACTGACTCGTCTCCATCCCGGTGTCTTGGGTTAATTGTGGGCCCAGAATTAACTTTCCGCTTTGTAGCAGGCGTCAGCCACTGACTTCTGCTTTTCCTCCTCTCCCCGCTCAATTAAAATACTCCTCCAGCTCTCCCCCCTTTGTCGCTGTAATCCCATCCTTAGCTCTGCAGTGGCCAGGGTTTCTAGGAAGCTTGTGCTGCTTTTAAAGTCATTTCTGCAAACTAGTGGAAGCGACGGATAGACGTTACGGGGCCAGGCTGAGTTTGTGAGTGTCCACTTGTCTCCTCTTCATGACCAACGGCTAGGTGCTACCACCAAATTGCTTCCGTGGGGTGCTCCCAGCAAAGTTCCTCCTCGTCCCTGTTACTTTGGCGCTAACGAGGCCCTCGTTAGTTATCCTAACGGTGCAGCAGGGACTTGTCATGCTACCTTAGCCTTTAGAGCGCACTTGATAGCCCAGGGGGTTGCGCAGCGCTTGGGGTGCTACTGTGATGCTACAGCTTTCTCCCCTACACCTTCTGTGGTGCAGGTTGGGCCACGCGGTGCCATCCTGGAGAGAAGACAGAAAAAAGGGAGTCTTCCTTGCTTCTTACCTGCCGCGCTTGCTTTCCTGCCGTGTACGCTTCAAGTGGGTTTGCGATAGCACGGGGAGCTTGGGGGGGGTGGGTGCTCATCTGACACAGCTTCGCAGCGCGGTGGGGTGTCGCAGAAGGTCCTGGTGTACCTGCTTGTCCTCGCTGGTGAACCATTCCCAGGTCAGAGGTTCCTCCCCTCTCACCTGAACTGCTGGCGTGCAGCACATCTTTCCTCCAACCCAAAATAAGCTGGTTTTTCTTCCCCCCACCCCCCACCCCGTGTTATCCCAGAGCCTGTTTAGCTCTCTTTGGAAAGTTTTGCCCTCGCTAGGACTTGCCACCATCTTTTAGGAGCAGCTGGCGAGCGTGAGATCACGCAGGACCCCCCCCCGCCTCCCCCTCCAGCTTCATGCCATGGGCCAGTTCATCAAGGAGACTTTTAACGAAAAAACACCTCAGGGAGGTTATGGCTTATTTTGACCATTCGTTCCCAGCTCACGGTCGGCTGCCCATCCGATTACCTCACGCCTGGCACAGCACGTAGACGGACGTGCACCGGGTGACGCCGGGTGGCGGGCGCCTCCGGGGACGAGGGTCTTGCCGAGCGCCACCCCTGCCACCGGCGGCGGGGCTCGGGCCGGGGAGAAGGGGACATTTCTCCCCGTTGCGGTACAGGTTCATCCCACTCCTGGCGACCAAGCCCCCCACCTCGTTATTGTTTTAAGAGCGGTACAGCATGTGCGTGCCCTCCCTGGAGCCTGCTTGCTTGCTGGGCAGTGGCTGCCTCTCCCCCTGCTGTGGGCTTTTCTGCCAGCAAGAAGGAATCCAGAGGCTTCTGGTGCTCAGAGGCTTGTGGCCGTCCCGCAGAGGCTGTCTGTCCATCTCAGGACAGACTGCCCTGGGGGTTGTGCCACGCGCAGGGGCGCGTTGAGGCCTCACCAACTACCTGCTGTAACGGCTTCGACGTTCTCATAGCTTTTGTGTGTTCTCCTTTCTGGGTCAGGGAACTTAGGCTTTAGTTACCTTCACACGGCCATTAGTTTGCTACTTAATTCATTCCAGCGTCCTGGACGTTTTAAGAAGGGGGACCATGTGAGAAA